GGAGGCTGCAATGGCTGGAGCTGAGCCAATCTGAAGCCAGGAGCCAGGAGTTTCTTCTGGGTCTGCCATACTGGTTTAGGGTCCCAAAGCTTTGGGCCAACCTCCACTGCTTTCCCAAGCCACATGCATAGAGCTGGACAGGAAATGGAACAGCCGGGATATGAACCAGTGCCCATATGGGATCCCAGAAGATGCAAGGTGATGATTTAGCCACTAGGCTACTGCAATGGGCCCGAACCAACTGTATCTTTAAAACACACAAACACCTCTGGCTCCCACTGTGGCACCTTAAGTACAACAGTTGGGGACAATAGTTTTCTATTTTTAGATTCAGGGCACAGAAAGACAGAGGGGCTGGAGTACAAATGAGGAGTGCTTCTCAGGTGACACAAGGCAAGCCTCAAACCTCCACGTGTCATGTCAAGGTACCCAGCTCAGTGGTCTTCTATACTACTGGCATATGCCCTTGACCCTCAAGAAGAAAGAAACTGGGTTTTTTTCCGCCCTTTCCCCTTTTTTTCCTAAATAAATCCTGCTTTGCAAACTGGAGTTGTCTGTATGAAACTGCTTTCATGTGAGACAAGAGACGAGTTTGCTGCTGGGTTTTTTTTTTTTTTTTTGCGTCAAATATCTCACAACACCGGCACCGGCAAGGGCCAGGGGTCAGAGGAGATTCCTAGAACTGGCAACTTGGCAGAGCTGTAGACCACTTCCCGGCTTCAGCACATCAACTCAGCAAGACCCAAGCCAAGAGTTGACAAGGATAAAATGACCCTAATTATGGAATGTGACACCTAGACTGTGTGAGCACTCATGGCGAACACATGTGAGATACACCATGCACTCCTAGAAATACCTAAGAGAAGTTAAGAGAAGTTTCGGGGGCCGGAGTTCCTGTATCATGCAAGGGCATGGGAAAAGAATGTGTATTCTGTTGCTGAATGGACTGATCTCAACGCTAACCCCAAAGGAAGTTACCAAACTGTTTTGAGCAGCAAAGGAGAAATTGTCATAGAGTATTTTATAAACCACAAAGCCCCGTACAGATATTCAGTTCTTGAATTATGTTACCCTGGACCTGCGGCTAGCAGAAGTTGTGAGTGTGATGCAATAAAGAGAATTTCTTTGTGGAATACTGAAGAGTTAAAAAAAACAGAAGAAAGGCTCAGCCACTTAGTGAGGTTCTGGATTTATCAAATATCTCTATAATGTTTACACAAATACTATCCATCAATTAAAATAAAGCTACTTTGAACAAACATAAGAAAAAAGAGAATAAAGCCAGCTTACCACTTCCAGTCCTCTGTCCAAGTTGCCATCAGATGGAGGCGGGGGCGGGAGGATAACCAACAGAGAGGGAAGTTTACTTAAGAGAATTTGATCATCTGTTTTCTTCCTGCCTATAGTGCCAGGCATGTTAATTACAGCCTCATCAGAAGTCCGGTAAACATGTGACTCTGAGCTCACTTAATGAGTGTTATTATCCTTTTAAAAATGCTGGCTTCAGCAATTACACACTAATCAAGAGCAGTGTTCAGTGGTGAGATCCAACCCAGGGCAACCCAAGAGGCCAGCTCACACTTCTGCCTTGGAGAACGGAGTGCGGAAGCGGCAGCTCTCAGCCCACTCCCGCCTTACTCTCCTGAGGCCAAACAGAGAAACTAGAGCCTTCCAGTGGCAACAGCGTTTCTAGAATTAGAAGTCCAGGCTTGTACCCTCCCAAAGCTTCCAGTTCAAAAAACTCCTGCAGTAAGAAATCCATATGAACTAGCACGGAGCAACTAATAGTGATTCTCCCCTTAGTCTCCTCGACCCACCCACTTTTTTTTTTTTTGAAGATTTAATGAAAGGCAGAGAGATAGAAATGAAAACAGAAAGATCTTCCATCCACTAGTTCATTCCCTAAATGGCTAAAAATGCCAAGTCTGGGTCAGGGTAAGGCAGAAGTTCCATCAGGTTCCCCCGTTTGGGTAGCAGGAGTCATCTGCTGTGTTCCCAGTCACATTAGCTGGGAGCTGGATCAGAGGCATAGCAGTGGAACCCCAACGAGCACTTTGGTATGTATGGGATGCCAGCATCACAGTTGGTACCTTAGTCGGCTGGGCCACAATGTTGCCCTCTTCCCCCACTGTTATCTTTTAGATAACAGGTCAACTGGAAGGGAAGGAAAGTACCTTGGATCATAGGCCAATGCCTATGCAACTGGCCCCCAATGCTAAGTATACTGACTTGTTATTTTGGTACCTGTAGAAGGAACTGCTGGTAACATCTGCAGCAGAGGACTGGATTAGTTAAGTAGGAAAATTTCACTAGGGATGTTGGGGGCTAGGGACCTGGAGCGTAAAGTCAATCTTGAAGGGTAGGAATTCAGTTCCAAAGCCTCTGTCAAAGGACCCCAAGGATAGTGGGAGGGGCCAGCACACCATCTGTAATGAGGTATGTAGCATAAGCGGCACAAGGAAGTTCTTTTATGACTTGGGAATAGGGACTGCTGGCAGGAATGGGGCCTCATAAAGTCCACAAAGCCCTTCTGTTGATACTTTGCTGGAGTCTGGTTGGAAAATGGGAACAGGGCCAAGATTCCATGAGGTCAGAGGCTTAAGTGGGGCCCACCCCACATTCCCTAAGCTACCTTTCTCTGAGCATGAACCACGAGACAATCCCAGCACATCAGGAATCTTTTTTTTTTTACCCAGTGATTGCAACCACCAGCTGATCAGGGCCATGGACTGTGCCGGGCCCTGTACCTGCTAGCACATACAAGAATCTGGTTTGAGAACACCTCAGACAAAGTTTCTTTGGAGATTTCCCCAATCGACATGCTGGACTCAGAACCCTAACCAAGAAAAGAGAGAAGACAGAACAGGTCAATTAACCATCTCAGCTATATGTTGGCAGTGAAATACAGGGCAGAGACTCTATGATGGACTGTCAATCAGTGGATTCTTCAACGACCTCATTGTGCTTGGAGTGGCAAGATTGGCAGCAATTCATAACTGGTGAACTATCAAGAACCTCGGAGCATACCCTACATGCGGGATCTGGGGAGGGTGGGAAATTGGGTGGGCCTTCTCCCTTAATACCTCCCCTTTAAACATGAAGGAAACAATATGGAAATAGTCTCTCCCACTTTCCTGTAGCCCTTGAACATTTTTACCCCAAATAACTATGTAAAGATTCTCAAAAATATAATAAAAAGTCAGATACATACAGAGAGGAGGAGAGACACAAATATCTTCCAACTGATGATTCACTCCTCAAGTGACTGCAACGGCCAGTGCTGTGCCGATCTGATGTCAGGAGCCCAGATCCTCTTCCTGTTCTGCCACGTGGGTGCAGGGTCCCAAGGCTTTGGGCCATCCTCAACTGCTTTCCCAGGTGACAAGCAGGGAGATGGATGGGATGTGGGGCTGCCGGGATTAGAACTGGCACCTATATGGGATCCTGGCGTGTGCAACACGAGGCCTTAGCCACTAGGCCACTATGTTGGACCCTTAAGATTTTTTTAAAGATCTCTCTCTCTCTCTCTATATATATATATATATATTTATTTTTATTGGAAAGGCAGATATACAGAGAGGAGGAGAGATAGAGAGGAAGATCTTTTGTTTGTTGATTCACTCCCCAAGCGACTGCAATGGCTGGAGCTGCGCCAATCTGAAGCCAGGAGCCCAGAGCTTCTTCTGGGTCTCCCACACGGATGCAGGGTCCCAAGGCTTTGGACTGTTCTAGACTGCTTTCCCAGGCCACAAACAGGGAGCTGGATGGGAAGTGGGACCTATGGGATTAGATCCTGGGGTGTTTACGTCAAGGACTTTAGCAACTAGGCCCAAGATATTTTTTTGAAAGGCAGATTTATGGAGAGGAAACAGAGAGCCTGCATCCATAGGTTCACTCGGCAAATGACCACAATGGCCAGAGCTCAGTTGATCTAAAGCCAGGAGTCAGAAGCTTCTTCCTGGTTTCCTCTGTGGATGCAGGGTTCCAGGGCTTTGGGTCATTCTCTCCTCCTTTCCCAGACCATAAGCAGGGAGCTGAATGGGAAGTGGAGCAGTTGGGATACAAATCGGTTCCCATGTGGGATCTTAGCACTTGCAAGTGTAGGATTTAGGCACTCTGCTATTGTACCATGCCCTACCTCTGCTTCTGATCCAGCTTCCTGCTAATGCAAACCCTGGCAGGCAACTCAGACAGTTAAATTCCCTGATACCCACATGAAAAACCCCACTGGAGATTTGGGCTCCTGGCTTGACCAATCCGACCCAGTTGTAAGGCATTTGGGGAGTGAATCAGTGATGCGAGACTTTTGCCTTTCAAAATTCTAGTCAGGCCTGGCACAGTAGCCTAGCGGCTGAAATCCTCACCTTGGACGCCCTGGAATCCCATATGTGTGCTGGTTCATGTCCTAGCAGCCTCAATTCCCATCCAGGTCTCTGCTTTTGGCCTGGAAAGTAGTAAGAGCACAGCCCCAAAGCTTTGGGACCCTCCACCTGTGTGGAGTAAGTTCCTGGCTCTTGGCTTCCAATCAGCTCAGCTCTGGTTGTTGCAGCTACTTGGGGAGTAAATCAGCAGATGGAAGATCTTCCTCTCTGTAATTCTGCCTTTCCAATAAAAATAAATACATCTTAAAAAAAAAAAACAAAACAGTTCTAGTCAGTGCAAGCACTGGCACTGGCTCTCATCCTGTGTCTTGCACTGGGTGGGGAAGCCAGGAGCCAGGGATTTTGGTATTCCTCTCTGAGCTGGACTTACCTCTAACTATTTTGGTACTTTCCTGATGTCCCCCCAAGCAATCCCACCACCTTAAACCAACCCTCCCACCAAACGTTTGAGACCTTTTCCCTCTCCCCTGCAACCTCTGTACTACACATAGCCACTCAAAGTCACTGTGCACTGGAGTAATATTTATTTTTTTTCCTTGGCAAAAAGTCAAGTGCTACATTTTTAAAAACAGAAAAATCTCAAAACAATCAAACTCATTACCCATCGCAGACGAGGGTCTTGGCAAACAGTACAAAACATCCTACTTGAGATTTTTTTAAATATACAAGTCAGTTTAAAACGATAGAAGTTCTGTGAGAACTAAGAAATCTACAGCCTGTAGTTTAATAATAGAAAAAAAATTAAGACAATTAAAAGGTTTGTAGCATCCAGCATTTTGCTTAATTCCCTGTTTATAGCACCTATTTCTCTAGATTAGAAGATGAACATTCCAGAACCTGTGGGGTTTGCTGTGTGCCGTGTCTCTGTTCTAGCCATGTGCCTGCTTCTTCGCTCCCCCAGAGGCAGGAATAACTGGGAGAGTTAGCACAGTCTAGGGGGCAGCACTAAGTGGCGTTTTCTTTCCCTGGGACAAGCTGTTGAGGGAAGCAGGGTATGTGTGGGTGGGGACAGCTGTCCTCTTCCTCAGGATGCATAACAAACAAGGAGCAACCTGACACCCTGGGAGCCAGGTGCCCCCCAGTTTAAAACCTCAGACGGAAAGAGTTCAAGGAAGGAACAGACTAGTAGTACTCATCACACTGAGGCTTTACCACAAGCATAGAGCTCCCGGCTGACGGCCATCCCAACACCAACCTAGCACTCAGAAAATGAATATGCTACACATGAAGCACTCACAGGCAAGCCCCCTGCTCACCCCTACCCTTCTGGACTGGACCCAATTTGGAAAATGGCAGCAGAAGCCATCGGGGAAAATGGCAAAGGATTCCCTTAAAGCTCACGGGCCTAGATGAATATTGGCTGGCCGCTGACCTCTAGCCCTGGTCCGTAAAATACAGGTCAGGTCTTGCTGGAGAGCGGGGAGAGGGAGGCCGCTAGGGGGATTCTCTAAGTCCCGAGTCGCTACCTGCAGTCTCAACAGCTGCCTCTGGATACAGACTCAGACATTTTGGGGGAGTAGTCACCAGCTCAGTGGATGGGAAGCGGAAGTGACACCTGTATGCAAGTGTCCACACCTGGGAGACACACAGCTCAGAAAACAGGTAGGGCTGGATCATTCTGGATTCCTGGCGTGGGAGACTCCAGGAAGGCTGCGCTCCCAGTCAAAAAGTTTGATTTTTTTCCCAGTGGTGATGCATGTTTCTTTCTCCTTCCTATATTCAGTGTTAGACTCGACAACACACAAGATACAGACTAGCTCCAAAACTGGACTTGGTGAATAAAGTTGTTTCTTTTATAAATATTTTTAATTACAAGGAATCCTCACTCCAGGTAACTTCAGTGACACACTGTACCTACAGGCACACACACTCACTCTCTCACACTCACACACACAGCTCTCAAACTTTCACAGAAAGTCTGACAGCAATCACATAATTATAAAGAAACCCCACCTCTCAAGAGTGAAGTAAGGGTGAGAATGACATGTCATTTTAGCCTAAAGAAGCTGCTAGAGAGGGGAGAGTGTGTGTCACTTAAAGAAAACAACCAACCAGGGATCAGCAATGTTTGGTTGAGAAGCCAGAAAGAAAGGAAAACAAACAATAAAATTCTGATTACCAAAAGAGGAAGAAAAAAAAAGAAAAGCCCTTCGGATTTGTACAGTCTTCCTATCGAGCGCCTAAACTACGGACAAACCCTGGTGTTCTCACTGAAATATGAGAGTCTCAGACTACTGAGAAGTAAATCAAAAGAAGCAAGGAAACCGAGGAGGGAAGTTAGTGTAAATCTCTGCATTTTGGGAGAGTTAGTTGTCATTAATCATTAGCTCCAGAGCCCAGCATAGTTTCCATGGAGCCCTGAGGGAAGGGGCCCCCCTGCCACAAAAAGTTTCGTGCCGGACGAGTCGTAGCAGTGGGTGTACACGGCATTGGGGAAGAAGTCAATGTCCGAAAAGTAATTCCTCCAGGTCTCATCGTGATTCTGTGGGAGGACAGAGACGAGTTAGCACACTTGGGCCACGGGGCCAGAAGGGGTGTGGGGCACAGGGACAATGCCTCTGGTCTCCTGAAGAGGAGGGGGTCCTGTATCTGTAACCAGAAGGAAAGCGGGGCCTGCGTTTTCAACTGAACATAGAGAGGAACTGCGCACAGTTCAAGTCTTCTCAGAACAGCTGGAGGAACACTGACCAGGCAACTTGCTCTCCTGGGCTTCAGTTTAACCACAGGTAACACAACATCAAGTAAAATCAGAGCAAAATCCTTTTCTGCTTACAGGGTGGGCTGGGGTGCTGGGGAAGGGGGAGGGACAGGTAGGCCTTACTCACCAGCCAGCCTCTGCCAGTAGTTAGTTTCAGATTCTCCCCTGCCAGTCTGGGCTTGGAGCCATAGCAAGCCGAGAGCCTCTCTTCCAGGAATCTCTGGGCTCGGATGTCATAGAACAACAGGGAGCCCTGCCCTGTGCCCACGGTGATGATGTGCTCATAGAAACTCACTGACCGGATCCCTGGGAGAGAAGGAGGGAAGGCAAAGGGTAAGCCCGGCAGCCTGGCTCTTGGCCGTGAATCTGTCTAAAGCTGACTGCAACACCACGTGGTACCCATCCATCCCTGCTTCCCCTGGCAGACGATGCTTCTCCAAGAGCAAGCATAGCTCCTGCAAAAGGAGAGAAGCCTTGGGGCCACGCTGCCACATCATGTACCAGGTTGATGCTGCACAGATGATGAAGCCTGTGGCCAAAGACCACAGGCGTGCCTGCATCTTCTGGGCTTCCACTCTGGACTCCTCTTTCCTAACTAAGCTCCTCCCCACTGTAAGTCTCCAGCCTCAACTGTAATTGAGAATAATCTGCCTGTTAAAAAATCACCACATCAATAAGGATGGCCTTACATTCGACCTAAAATAACTAACAAGGTACTAGGTGTGTTAGGAAGGTGACAAAGAGTCCAAATCTTCAGCTCACAAGAGTGCTCTCCCTCAGCACTGGATCAACTTTAGGTATCTAATCACCGCAGATTACAGACAGCAACTGCTGCACCCAGGAATGAAACAACTGCACGGGACCTGAAGATCCCTTACGGCACAGAGCAGAGGGTAGCTTAATAAACACTAGGACCTCTACATTCATGTACGAGACCCAGATGAAGCTCCTGGCTGGGGGTTGGCCCAGTCCTGTGTGCACACACCTGCACACATTTAAATATAAATAAAACAAGGGGTCAGCATTGTGATACAGTTAGCAAAGCTGCAGCCTGCAATGCTGCATTTTTTTTTTTAAAAAGATTTTATTTTTATTTGAAAAGCAGATACATAGAGAAAAGGAGAAACAGAGAGCAAGATTTTCCGTCCGATGGTTTACTCCCCAAGTGGCAACAATGGCTGAAGCTGTGCCGATCCGAAGCCAGGAGCCTCTTCCAGGTCTCCCACATGGGTGCAGAGTCTGAAGGCTTTTTGCCGTCCTTGACTGCTTTCCCAGGTCACAAGCATGGAGCTGGATGGAAAGCGGGGCTGCCGGGACTAGAACCAGTGCCCATATGGGATCCTGGTGTGTGCAAGGTGAGGATTTTAGCCGCTAGGCTACCACGCTGGGCCCAGTGTTGGCCTTCTATAAAGGCACTAGATTACGTTCCGGCTGCTCCACTTCCCATTCAGCTCCCTGCTTATGACCTGGGAAAGCAGTGGAGGACAGCCCAAGGCTTTGGGACCCATCCCTGTGTGAGGGATGCTGCACCACATGGGAGACCCAGAAGAAGCTCCTGGTTCCTGCCTTCGGTATGGCTTAGCTGCAGCTGTTGCAGACATTTAGGGAATGAACTAGTAGATGGAAGATCTTTCTCTCTGTCTCTTCTTCCTTCTGTAAATGTGCCCTTCCATTAAAAAATAAAAAATAAGTTGTTAAATTGGAAGACCTTAATTCTGATCCCTATCCTTCCTTTTCAAACCATATGTCAGGTTATGTAACCACGCTGGGGTTAAGTCACACCTGAAAATGGGTTAATAATCTCTCTTCCTACCTGCTTCCCACAGGGCTGCTGGTAGGATGAAATGTCAGGAAAAAGCGCACTGAAATCTTAAAGAACCTACATTTTTCTTTCTCCCTGCAATAAACAACAAGGGTGCTCTATGCGGAATATGCTATTATAAGAAACCAAGGCTCAAGCCCAATTTGTCCAGATAACAGAACTCATTGCTTCAGCTTGAGTGTAGTACCACTGTCATAGCATACACTGCACATTACATATAAATTTGAAGTTTTGACTACAACACTAATCAAAGTAACAAACGTATCCACCATCCCTAAGTGTTCCCCCATGTCCTTTGACCTTAGCAGAACAGTAGCTGAGGCAAGGTACCAGTGCACAATGACCACGGGATAGAAAGCAAGGCTAACATCTTGCATGGTGACCACACATTTGTCTGTAATGTTTGAAACCCTGCTGCCATATGCATGCACTTGTGGTCCCCACATGCTGCATTCAGATGATCATCACCGCCTGCAGCGTGATGCCTCCGGCTGACAGCTGCACACACACAGCAGTGCCCCAAAGGTTACGATGTCTCCTGGTGCTGCGCTAGCTGCTGATGGCACCTTAACCCTGATTTACGTGTTTACAATGCAGCTGGTGTAACTACACATCTGCCACCAACTGTGTATAGTACAGCCTCTCTTCTTAAGAACAATACATGATGGCTGATAACAACCAATCACAGCACTGTGCTTTACATCATTATTCTTCTATAGTTTTACTGTTAATTTAGTGTTAACTTTCATTTTTTTATCTGCAAGGCAGAGACAGAAAGATGGAGATATCTTTTTACCTATTGTCCCACTCCACAGCCATGGCTGTGAAGGCAGGTGCCCTAACTTATCCAGGTCTAACATGTGGGTATCAGCGACCAAAATATCTGTGCTATCACCTGCTCAGGGTCAAGCTGCACTGGACGTGGAATGTCCGGAATCTCAACCTCGTACTCCTACAGTGGAAGCAATGCCTCCCAAGCACCTTCCCCTACTGTGATGTTAAAAATGTACTACTTATTCGAAAAAAGTCTACTGTGAATTAGTAATAATATGATGTCAGCAGCAGCCTTGTGTATCTTGGGTCTTTTATTTCTTGTTTGCACTGTTTCGCCTGTGTTAAGATTTAATCTCAGTACTGTTTGTCATAGCCAAGGAGCAACGGGCTATGCTATACACATATCACATTCACTCTTGCATATACTATCTAGCTTGTCTACTCTATATATTCTATAGTTCTATACATATAGTCCACCTGTACAGAGGGTGTGGCAATACTGTACATGTTTGTGTAAGTACACCTTACGATGTTTGCACAATCACATACTTCTCAGAAAACATCCCCATCATTAAGTGATGCTTGATTCTACTTGTTGGAAATCAACACAGGAAATGAAAGTCGGTGTAGCTGCAAGCTTGATCAACACTCTGAGAGATGCTTACCACTGCCTCGCTCCCTGGAACACACGGACTTGACATTGTATGATGGCTGCCGTGGATCCAAGAAGGAAACATGGGCTTGGGAGCCCACTGCATACACTGACCACTCACTCCCATAGGCTAGACATACATTCTCTCGGCAATACGGCAGTTTGGTGGAGAGGAGCTAAAAACAGAAAGAAGAGATGCACGGCATCATGAGCATAATGCAGGGCACTGGGGGATTCCCTGGTATATTAGCCAGAGTCAGAGAAGGCCAGAGTCCTGATATTAAGGAAGTTAGCATCCAGCCACCTGTAGGCACACAGGAGAGGGTGACAAAAATAAGATCCAGGCACACATGGGATTGTAAAATCGGAAGCACTGAGAAAGGCCAACATCTACAAATTTTTCCAAGAACAGCCCCACAAAGGCATTTTGTCCCCCTCCCCTCTGCTCTTCAAATGTAGGGGCTGATTTCCAATCTTGATACTAGACAAAAGGCTGAGCAGCGATAGGGGCTGACTACCAGCCACCCTGAGCCAGCTCCCAGCCTGCACGAGAGCAGTGCATCGTGGAAAGCACACACACAGTACTGGCCAAGGCACATCAGAGGTTGCACCAGACCAGAGTCCCCGTCAGTTAGCAGGTCCTCAGTGGATGCCGACCAGAGCTAAGGCATCGCAAAGGACGCTGTGGCGCGAGGCCAACAGTGACTCCTGGAGAACCCATCAAGGAAACGAGCAGCAGCAGAAGCCTCCAGAACGAGAGGAGCGCAAATGATTCTGGTGGCGGCTCAGTACGCAAGAGTGGCTTGCTAAGTATCAAAAATTAAGATTTTCTTACTATGTGACTTGATTTTTGCATGGGTGATTTTCTTATTTTGGTTGATCCTTAACATTAGGTTTTACTGCCCCTCAGAACCTGCCAAGTCGCCAGGGCACTGTAGCTCAGAGCACTACTGACTGAAGGAATCTCGCAGAAGCCATTGCCATCTGAAACCCAGAGCCTCTAATTTCCTCAGAGACTTTCCTCGAAGCAGGCACGTGAGATTCAAACTTTCATGCCTAGTGCAATAACATGATGAAACCTCTGGAGAACGGGCACATTTTAGGTAAGAACAAAAAGCCTCAGGCAGAATTAAGAGTATTTTAACCCTAAAGCTAAGTTATAAGTGAAGCCCACGAGTCAAGTTCACCACACCTTAGAAAGTGTATTTTCAGCCTTCCAGAGATGAAAGTAGCCATCCAGAGACACTGCTCCCAGTTCCTACAATAGCAATGAACACAGGTTAAATTCCAATTTTCAGCAACCAAAGCCCAGAGAGAGCAGGGGAAGACGCAGAGGGTCAGGGAATCCTACCGAGATCACGGCAGGAGTGCGCTAATTATTAGCTCACCATTTCAATGATTCTAGGTGCAGAGTGCATTAACTAAAGGCTGCTTTTCTTTCCCATGTGGGCAACACAAACCCAAATATGTGGAGCACCATCTCCTATCATGCAGGGGACTGGATGGGAGGGAGGGTGGCTGGCTGGGACTTGACAGGGGACACAGGGCACCCCAGGCAACAGCTTGAGCAGCTGTACAATAACCTTGGCAAGGCTGCTGCTTGATAAAACCCTAGCAGCAAGTCCAGGTGGCTGGTGCAACACATGCACCCATGTGGCGCAGAGCGCGCTCACTAATCAATCACTTTCATGTCACCCTGTTAGACGTCTAACGGAGCACACCTGTGAAGTAGTTTCACTAACTTGCAGTACGGGAGCTTCCACAAATGAATGAAGGGTCTATCCTAGGAGAGAGAAATCCACCGCTGGCCAAAAGGATGATGGAAGATAGGGGCTAAGAGAACTACCCTTCAAATTAGGGTCAGCTTCAATTTTCTTTTCCTTTTTTAAAGATTGGAGGGCACGGTGCGATAGCATAGTGGTTAAACTCCTTGCCTTTGAATGTGGGCGCCGGTTCTAATCCCAGCCGCCCCGCTTCCCATCCAGCTCCCTGCTTGTGGCCTGGGAAAGCAGTTGAGGACAGCCCAAAGCCTTGGGACCCTGCACCTGTGTGAGAGACTTGGAGGAAGATCCTGGCTCCTGGCTTTGGATCGGCCCAGCACCAGCTGTTGCGGCCACTTAGGGAGTGAACCATCATATGGAAGATCTTCCTCCCTACATATCTGACTTTCCAATAAAAATAAAATCTTAAAAAAAAAAAGATTGGAAAGGCAAGTTTATAGAGAGGAGAGACAGAGAGAGAGAGATCTTCCATCTGCTAGTTCACTTCCCACATAGCTGCAGCAGCCAGAGTTGAGCCAATCCAAAGCTAAGAGCCAGGAGTTTTAGGTTTCCCACTGTGGGTATAGGGGCCAAAAGACTTACACCATCCTCTGCGCTTTCCCAGGACATAGGCAGGGAGCGAGCTGGGTGGCAAGTGGGGCAGGTGAGACATGAACGGGTGCCCATATGGGATGCTGGCACTTTCAGATGGAATATTACCCACTATGCAATTCCTGCTTCAGATTTTGGAGGCTTTTTCTTTTCTTCTGCTTTTGTATCCCAATATGCTACTGAAAACCTATGATGGATAAGATCTGATTCCATGATTGGGCAAAACCTGGTGGTAGTAGCAAGATAATAAGTTTTTTTTTTTTTTTAAGATTTATTTATTTATTGGAAAGTCAGATATACAGAGAGGAGGAGAGACAGAGAGAAGATCTTCCGTCCGATGATTCACTCCCCAAGTGAGTGCAATGGCTGATGCTATGCCAATCCGGAGCCAGGATCCAGGAGCCTCTTCCGGGTTTCCCACATGGGTGTAAGGTCCCAAGGTTTTGGCCTGTCCTCGACTGCTTTCCCAGGCCACAAGCAGGGAGCTGGATGGGAAGTGGAGTTGCTGGGATTAGAACCGGCGCCCATATGGGATCCCTGTGCATTCAAGGCGAGGACTTTAGCTGCTAGGCCATGCCGCCAGGCCCAAAGATAAGTTTTAAAAACAGGTGTTGGGGGGCCTGGCGCAGTGGCCTAGCAGTTAAAGCCCTCGCCTTGAATGTGTTGGGATCCTATACGGGCTCTAGTTCTAATCCCGACAACATCGATTCCTACCCAGCTCCCTGCTTGAGGCCTGGGAAAGCAGTCAAGGATGGCCAAAGCTTTGGGACCCTACACCCGCGTAGAAGATCTGGAGGAAGTTCCTGGCTTCAGATCGGCACAGCACTGGATGTTGCAGTCACTTGGGGAGTGAATCATCGGACGGAAGTTTTTCCTGTCTCTCCTCTCTGTATATCTGACTTTGCAATAAAAATAAAGAAATCTTAAAAAAAAAAAAAAAAAAAAAAGTAGGGATAGGGGGTTGTCAGGGAGGGCCAGTTCAAATCCTGGCTGCTCCACCTCCAATCCAATTCCCTTGTAAGTGCCCAGAGAGAAAGTAGAGGATGGCCCAAGTCCTTTGGATCCTGTACCCATGTTGGAGACCAAGAGGGAATTCTTGGCTCCTGGCTTCAGACTGACCCAGCTCCAGTGGCTGTGGACATTTGGGCAGTGAACCAGCAAGTGAAGAATCTGTCTTTCTCTCTGCCCTTCAAATAAAAATAAATAAACCTTGGTGGGGGTGGGGTGGGTAACCCACACACAAAGAGGAGAAAAAGTGATTGTTTTTAAAGGCAAGTATGAAAATTGTGCTCCAAAAATCACACCTGCTAAAACACATGCAAATCAGATAGTCAAATCCAGGGGCCCTGGGGAAACTGTGAGGCTGACCCACACGTACAGACCACCCTGACAAACACTGCAGACACCAACCCAAGGTGGGGCTTGTCTGGTCTTAATTATAATTACTTAGCTGCACCCCTCAGCCTGGTCTGTGGGCTTATGACAAGCTATGGCGGAAGCACTGCTTTGGGGAGTAGGGGTGTGTGTGTCTGCAGAAATCAGCCACGAGAAGGTTTCCGGGCTCCCTTGTTGAGTTCATACCTTGTTCTTATCGTTGAAGGCCAGAGCCCGGACCTTGCAGTTGTCAGGGTTTGTGTCTTCCTTGGGGATGTCCTTTAAGGCCTTGTGAGTGATATGGGAATACACAGGGACCTGTGACATATTGTGCCTTGCATCACTTTTGGTCAACACTTCATCTGTCACCTCCCAGAGTCCCATAGAACCATCGCGTGAGCCTGAAGAGGAGAGCACAGATGTTAGACGTTTGACCCTCCACAGGACAATCCCTCGTTAGTCAGGCTGGCCTTGCTTTGGCTGCTTATGATTCTTCCTCCTATGTAGTAAAGCTAGCTCAGGTGGCCCACTCCAAACACAGCAGCGGGCAATTATAAAACAAAAGATTTATTTATTTATTTTAATGATCTTTATGTAAGATTTATTTATTTTTTAAAGATTTATTTTATTTATATCACAAAGTCAGATATACAGAGAGGAAGAAAGACAGAGAGGAAGATATTCTTCCGTTGATTCACTCCCCAAGCGGCCGCAACGACTGCAGCTGTGCTGATTGAAGCCAGGAGCCTCTTCTGGGTCTCCCACGCAGGTGCAGGGACCCAAGGCTTTGGGCCGTCCTTGATTGTTTCCCCAGGCCACAAGCAGGGAGCTGGATGGGAAGCTGGGGTACCAGGATTAGAACTGGCGCCCATATGGCATCCCAGCGTGTGCAAGGGGAGGACTTAGCCACTTGGCTACCGTGCTGGGTCCATTATTTCCTTTTTTTTTTAAAAAAAAAAAAAGACTTATTTTTATTGGAAAGTCAGATATACAGAGAGAAGGAGAGACCGAGAGGAAGATCTGTCTGTTTGTTTATACTCTAAGCAGCCACATAAGCCAGAGCGCACCAATCTGAACCCAGGAGCAGAGAACTTCCTCCGGCTCTCTCATGTGGGTGCAGGGTCCCAAGACCTTGGGCCATGCTGAACTGCTTTCCCAGGCCACAAGCAGGGAACTGAAAGGGAAGTGGAGCAGCTGGGCTATGAACTAGTGCCCATATGGTATCACTGTGGATGCAAGGCGAGAACTTTAGCCACTAGGCTACTGCATTAGGCCCAGCAGTGGGCATTTTAATAGCCACACTAAGAGGACAACTCAACTAAGCTCTAGGAGTTAAAATATAACTTTTAAGCTTAACATGGTTGGTGCATTCTTTTTTTAAAAAAAAAGATTTCTTTATTTTTATTGCAAAGTCAGATATACAGAGAGGAAGATGTTCTATCTGATGATTCACTCCTCAAGTGACCGCCACAGCCGGTGTGCTCAGATCCGAAGCCAGGAACTGTTCCCAGGTCTCCACGTGGGTGCAGGGTCCCAAGGCTTTGGGCCATCCTCAACTGCCTCCCAGGCCACAAGCAGGGAGCTGGATGGGAAGTGGAGTCGCCAGGATTAGAACTGGCACACATATGGGATCCTGGCGCTTTCAAGGTGAGGACTTTAGCTGCTAGCCCACGGCACAAGGCCCGGTTGGTGGATTCTTAAAAAGTAGAATTTTGTACAAGTTTGATAAAATTCAATAACTATCCAGGCCAAATGCTTGGAATGTACACACAGCCAATAGGATTTTTTCAATCTAGATCAGTGCTTAAGCTTCCTGAACTTTGATCTGAATGAGTTAGAATACTGGAGGTGACCTCACCTTTTATAAAAGAGGAGAGGGAGAGAGAGAGAGAGAGAGAGAGAGAGAGAACCCTCATGCACTGGCTCATGTCCCAAATGCCTGGGGCTTGGCTGATCCCCAAAGCAGAAGACAGTAACCCCGTTCCTTGAGCTTTCACTTCCACCTTCCAGCATCAGTATTAACACAAGCTGGAATCAGGAACAGAAGCTGGTACTGAACTAGAGTACTGGGATGTAGGATCAATGTATCTGAGGCACTACATCAAACACTTCTTTCTTTTTTTAAAAAAATCTATATTTCTTTCTTGGGGCTGGGATGTGGCATACTGAGTAAGGCTGCTTGCCTGCAATGCTACATAACATACAGGTGCCAGTTCAAGTCCCAGATGCTCTGCTTCTGATCCAGCTCCTTAATAATGTGCCTGGGAAGGCAGAGGAAGATGACCATGTCCTTGGATCCCGCACTCATGTGAGAGACCTGGAAAAAGTTCCTAGCTTTGGACTGGCCCAGCTCCAGCTATTGTGGCCATTTAGGGAATAAACCAGCAGACAAAAGATCTAGCTTTATCTTTCAAGTAAATAAACATCACAGTGAAGAGGCAACACACATACACACACTCCTCCCCTCCCATTCATTAGTTCATTCCCCAAATGGTCCCAAAGGCCAGGCATGGGACAGGCTGAATGAAGTCAGGAGCCGGGAACTCCGTCCAGGTCTCAAGTGGGTGAAAGGGGTCCAAGTGTTTGGGCCCTCATCTGCTGCCTTCCCAGGTGCAATAACAGGAGCTGAATTACAAGGAAAAGAGCCTGAACCCAAAATGCCCCTCATATGGGATGCTGACATGACAGGTACTGGCTTAACTTTTGTCAAGTCTGGCCCCAAGTGTTAAACTAAGAAAAAAGTTGTTATTTAAAGGGTATGCAGATAATTCAAGATACAAATGATGAGCACTTGAGAAAAACAAAAAGCAAACTGCTGGATTCAAGAGATACTTTGGGACCACTGCTGTGGCATACCATGGTAAGCCTCTGCTTTTGGCACTGGCATTCTATAAGGGAGCCAGTTGAATCCTGGTTGCTCCACTTCCAATGAAGCTCCCTGTTAGTAGCATGGGAAAGCAACAAAAGATGGCCCAAGAATTTGGGTCCTGTCACTCATGTGGAAGACCTGGAAGAAGCTCCTGGCTCCTTGCTTCAGATAGAACTAGCTCAGGCTGTTGTGGCTATTTGGGGAGTGAAGATCTTTCTCTCTCTCCCTCTCTCTAACTGCCTTGCAAATAAAACTAAAGTAAGTCTTTAAAAACAGAACAGATACTTCAGGAGATAGTAACACAGTTCAGTAATAAGAGCCTAGATGAGTCTCTGATCTGTGGCTGAGCAGCTGGTTGGCAATGGAAACCTTCACCAACAGAGGGATGAGTCTTGCAAGGGAGACACCAAGTTTGCAAAGGCTGCAACAACTAAGCAATTCTACCCTGGCAGCCACCGTCATCTCATTAATTTATAGCACATACAATCTTCTTCCATGTGGCAGATGAGGAAACCAAGTCTCAAAAAGCTTAAGTAATTTTCCTAAAGTCATTGTATAACTAATGGTCAGATCAGGATTCATGTTCATGTCTCTAGTATCAGAGTCAATATTTTACCTTCTTAAAGATTCATTTGATTTTGGGTCTGGTGCGATGGCTCAGTGGCTAAATCCTCACTTTGCACGTACTGGGATTACATATGGGCACTGGTCTGTGTCTCAGGTGCTCCACTTCCCATTCAGCTCCCTGCTTGTGGCCTGGAAAAGCAGTGGAGGACAGCCCAAAGCCTTGGGACCCTGCACCCACACAGAGACCCAGAAGCAGCCTTTGGCACCTGGCTTCAGACAGGCTCAGCTCTGGCTGTTGCGGCTGCTTGGGGAGATGGATGGATGCTCTTTCTCTCTGCCTCTCCTTCTCTCTGTAAATCTGCCTTTCCAATAAAAATAAATTAAGTCTTTAAAAAATTTTAAAAACATTGACAGGCAGACTTTTACAGAATTGGAGAGACAGAGAAAAAAGATCTTCCATCTGCTAGTACATTCCTAAAATGGCTGCAATGGCCAGAATTGAACTGATACAAAGCTGGGAGCCAGGAGCCTCCTCTGGGTCTCCCATGTGGGTGCAGGATCCCAAGGACTTGGGCCATCCTCCGTTACTTTCCCAGGCCTTAGGCATAGAACTGGATCAGAAATGGAGCAGCTGGGACACAAACCAGTTGCCATATATAGGATGTTGGTGCCAGAGGACAGAGGGCTAGCCTATGCCACCGTCAGTATTTTAACACCAGCTCGACTATTCAGATAATACAGACATGGAATTCTCAGCCCAACACAGGACACTAGCAGGGTATCCAGAAGAGAAAGAAGGCTCCTCAACAAAGTCAAACACACGTCTCGATTCCCAACAATGAAATTTTTAGTGCCATTTCTCAGGGGCACAGTCCTGAGAAATAGGACTCAGCCTTCACCCTTCCAGGGGCTCTCACTCCTTGGGGAGACAAAAAGCTCCTGAATAACCTCTAGGCAATCTCAATTTTGACCCTGCTTCTTAATTAGACTCAACTTCCCTTTTGACTGCTCTCTATTGGTTTCCCAACAATCCAAATGAAAGTATCCTCTATGGTCCTCTGGAATAAATTTTTATAAATGGGTTCCCAACAAATCTGCGAAGCAATGTGAACCAACTTTCCAGACTGCTGTGGGTTACATTTGTCTAGGTGAGTTTCTCTACATACATTAATCTGTGTTTTTTTATGTTAATGTTTGTTCTAATCATTATATTAGAAATCCTCACACAATTTTTTCTTTTGGAATTTGTATTAAGACATTTCATGGTTTACAGTTGTATAGAAAATAACTGCTCCTAATATTTCATTGAAGATAACTTTTCTGAAAAACTTTCACAATGTTAATTGAGTGAAATTCTACAAAAACACTGTGGCCAACATGTTCCTCCAGATGTTTTCTGGAACAGGGCACAGCAGAAACAAGGAAGCAAGGAAGTATGTCAGTTACCTTTTGTTTAGGAAAACAGCTGAAATAAATAAAAAAGAAAGGTACATAGTACAAGACAGAAAAAATCAGTATTGGAAAGAAGGTCTCCTCATGCATGACCAATGGATCTTTCAGCTTACTGAGAGATCAAATCGCTTTCAAATTCTAACCATCCCACCTGCCACACCAAAAGCTCCCTATAAAAACACAACTTTACCAGACACTGCCATAGTATCACTGATCCATGCGATGGAAAAGATCCAATCCTTGTGTCCATCCTAGGAGAGAAGTGACAAGTACAGGAAGAAAAAATAAGGAATTAATGAAATATGGGCTATATACTAGAAAGTATACAATTCTTTTTTTTATATATAGAAAGTATTTAATTCTGACTGAAGATATCTTTGTAAAAATTACAACCTAGAATGCTGATCTCATCCCACAGGGCATGGTCCTATAATCTTTATGTTCTGTCTGAAGCTCAAGGCTGGAATGAGCAGATCTGCTGTGGGTGATGAGTATGTCCAGGAGACACAGCTCTAGCCTTTACCTTGGCTAGGAGGTCTTTAGGAACTCCCTGTTTTTGCCTGCTTTACACATCTATGTCACTTGTACTGTCACTTTCCTTGACTCCCTGTTCAAATGTCATCAATGCGGTTTTCTCTGAAGATCCTCCACTTCTCTCTCTCTATTCCTTCATCCTTCATTCACACCAACAGAGTACTGGGGAAGAGGGAAGTATTTATTGGTTTATATAGTTTGCATATTAGCTTACATGTCACAGTCCATGAGAACACAGGCTACAAGAGGCGAGGGCTTTATCTGTTTCCTTTACTGCTGTGTCTGGTGTCTGAAGTAATGCCTGGCCACAGATGACTCAATAAAGAGTTATTGGATGAATGATTTTGCAAACTTTGCTAACTCTGGGCAGTAGAAGGTATGTACACACTTGATTCCAACAGAAACACACTGCTGTTAGCCCCAGGGTGGGCTGTTGACTGCTTTGTCAAATATATACAAACTTACATCCCCCACACACACAGGATCCAGTGTAGGCAGTCGATAGATGGCAAGACTGTTGGGGTTGTCTCCTCCAGTGGCTAACAATGTTCTAGAGGGATTCAGCTCGATGGCATGGATACCACAGCCCTGTTGGGTCATGACTCCAGGCTCCCGGTCTTTCAGAATGGGGATCTTGGTGATCTGGCTTGTCTGGACATCCACAACAAATAACTGTAAGAGAAAAGGCACGCAGAACCTGATTACAGTTTCCATACAACGTGGATGACGTTCGGCACAAACGTCTAACTGTTCAGTGACCAAACATATAATTCATGCTAGCACAGGCTAAGCCCTGGGAATTACCATTTTATATTATTTAAGGCATGGAGTGATAGCCTAGTGGCTAAATCCTCTTCTTGCATGCGCCAGGATCCCATATGGGTGCCAGTTCGTGTCCTGGCAGTCCTACTTCCCATCCAGCTCCCTGCTTGTGGCCTGGGAAGCCAAAGAGGATGGCCCAAAGCCTTGGGACCCTGCACCCACACAGGAGACCTGGATGAAGCTCCTGGTTCCTGGCTTTGGCCTGGTTCAACCTTGACTTTGCTGCCATCTGGAGAATGAACCAGCAGATGGAGGATCTCCAGCTTATCTTTCTTCCCCTCTCTGTAACTTTGCCTTTAAAATATTTTTTTTTTAACTAAAGATTTACTTATTTTTATTGGAAAGGCAGATTTTACAGAGAGGAGATACAGAGAAATCTTTCATTTGCTGGTTCACTTCTCAAGTGGCTACAATGGCCACACCTGAGTTGATTTTAAACCAAGAGCCAGGAGCCTCTTCTGGGTCCTCCACACAGACACAGCACATGGTCTCAAGGCTGTGGGCAGTCTTCCACTGCTTTCTTAGACTATAAGCAAGGATTGGATGGGAAGTAGAGCAGCTGGGATATGAACCAGCGCCCATATGGGATGCTGATGATTACAGAGGATTAGCCAGTTGTGTGCTTACTTATCAAATAAATAAATGCTTTTTTAAAAAAATATTTATTTTTATTGCAAAGTCAGATATATATATATATATATAGTGGAGGAGAGACAGAGAGGAAGATCTTCTATCTGATGATTCACTCCCCAAATGACTATAACAGCTGGAGCTGAGCCAATCTGAAGCCAGGAGCCCGGAGCCTCTTCCTGGTCTCCCACGTGGATACAGGGTCCCAAAGCCTTGGGCCGTCCTCAACTGCATTCTCAGGCCACAAGCAGGGAGTTGGACTGGAAGCAGGTCTGCTGAGATTAGAACCGGCGCCCATATGGGATCCCAGCACATTCAAGATGAGGACTTAAGCCATTACACTATCGCGCTAGGCCCTCCTCCAACTTTCAACTAATAATCTTTTTTTAAAAATAATCGATTTTGTTGAAAGGCAGAATTATAGAAAGAGACTGACAGATCAAGAGGGAAAAAATTTTCCATTAACTGATTCATTCCTCAAATGGCTGAGACAGCCAGGGGCTCTAGAAATCAATTGGTTAGGCCCAAATCTTCCTGGTCCTAGAAAAGGACTGACAAGGCGCTGTGTGCAGGAAAATCTCCCAGCTCCTGAATGGGGAGATAGGGATGTGGAAGAGGGGCTAAAGAAATTAGTCACATGCTCTGTCAAGCGGTCATCAGGCTTCACACAGCACCAGCTGGTGTCCTCCAGAGCAGGACTGCTCTGCATTAACTTCCTGCGATCCTTGTTAGAAACTAGCTCAACCGGGCCAGGTAAGCTGCAGCTGCACGCTCCCTGCAGCTACACTCCAAGACAGAGGAAAGAACGCTGAAGCAGTGGCTCAGACACAGGGTGAGTAAGCACATCTGTGCGTGTGCACATGTGCCCATAGACACCTGTAAATGAATACCCATAAAGGTGGCTTTAGGAAAAAAGGCAGGAGAAACCTCACAAGCTTTCTTCAGTTCTGGGACCCTGCACTAGTGTGGGAGATCTAGAAGAAGCTCCTGGCTTCTGATTGGCTCAGTTCTAACTATGGAGGCCGCTTAGGGAGTGATTCAGTGGATAGAAAATCTTCCTCTCTCTATGTCTGACTGTCCAACTAAAAAAAAAATAATAATAAATCTTTCAAACAAAACAAAACAAAACAAAAACCAGTTAGGTTGCCACTTGGGATGTTTTTGCCCTTTCTCAAATCACCCTGCCTCCATGTATGATTCCTGCTAATAGCTTAGCCCCTGCTGTTGTAGCATTTGAGGAGTGATCAGTGGACGGAAAATATCTTTATAGGCCTTTTGTAGAAATAAAATTAAACTTTTTCATTTTTCACTGACATATTAAGACACACTCAAGAGGTACCATGTGATGTTTCCATACATCTAAAGATGTCCAATTAGGGTAAATGCATCTGCCATAATCTTCATAATTATGTTAATGTCTACACAGTAACATGTACAATTGGTTTATCATAATTCACTGTTATAATTTAGACAAACAGGTCCCGCTGGCAAATACTGTGGCATACATAGCAGGTTAAGCCACCACTTTGAATGAGCAAACTATACACTGGAGGGTCAGTTCCAGCCATAACAAAGGAAAGACAAAGAGAAAGATCTTCTGTCTGCTGGCTCCTGCAAATGGCCACAATACGCACAGCTGAGCCAATCCGAAGCCAGGAACTTCTTCCGGGTCTCCCACATGGGTGCAGCTTCCAAAGCTTTGGGCTGTCCTCCACTGCTTTCCCAGGCCACAAGCAGGGAGCTGGATCAGAAGTGAAATAGCAGCTGGGACACAAACTGGTACCCATATGGGATCCCAGCTCATGCAAGGGGAGGATTTAGCCACTAGGCTATCACACTGGGCCCATCTTACTCATCTCTCTTTCTCTTTTTCTAAATATTTATTTATTTTTATTGCAAAGTCAGTTATACAGAGAGGAGAAGAGACAGAGAGGAAGATCTTCCATCTGATGGTTCACTCCCCAAGTGACTGCTTCAGCCACATGCTACACTGATCCAATGCCAGGAGCCAGGAACTTCCTCCAGGTCTCCCATATGGGTACAGGGTCCTACAGCTTTGTGCCATCCCTGACTGCTTTTCCAGGCCATAGGCAGGGAGCTGGATGGGAAGAGGAGTTGCCAGGATTAGAACTAGAGTCCACATGGGCTCCAAGTGTGTTCAAGGCAATTGGCTACTAGGCTACCATGCCAGGCCCCTACTCTTAAGTAGATAAAGACATTAGAAAAGAAGAAATACCCCAAAATACCACCAAAGGGCCTATGCTATGGCTCAGTGGTTAATTCTCTACCTGCAAGTGCTGGACATTCTACGTAAGCACCAGTTTGTGTCCCAGTTCCTCTACTTCCCATCCAGCTTCCCGCTTGTGGCCTAGGAAGGCAGTCGAGGACGACCCAAGGCCTTGGGACCCTGCACCCGTGTGGGAGACCCAGAAGAAGCTCCTGGCTTTGAACTGAATCACCTCTGGTCATTCCAGCCCCTTGGGGAGTGAACCAGTGGATGGAAGATCTTCCTTTCTGTGTCTTCTTCTTTGGAAATCTGCCTTTACAATAAAAAATAAATCTTAAACAAACAAACAATAAAAGGCCTAGAGAAAATACCTGGCCTGACAAATGACACAAAACTGACACACAACCCACCAAGGAACACCAATACATAAATTAAAATGACTTATTCAAATCTTTTAGTATAAATGTGACAGACCAGAAAGTTCAGAAAGTAGGGACTTAAGCTTAGTTCCGATCTAAAAATAAAGGAAACTGGCAGCTCTCTGCCCTTACGTTTCATGACTGATGAAGGAAATCAATACGCAAATCAGGAAAGCAACTGTTAAGAGCTTCCCCAAAATGCTCAAGACATCACTACACTCTGCTGGCTGCTGAACAAACATCAGCTGAGGTACCTGCAAAGAAACTTTCAGATCCACTAACTCAGGTCCACCTGGGCCCTTTGTGGTTTACAATGAGGCAAACAACTTTTCATTTCAACAAGGTGGCAAAATTAAATGTTTTGCTCTTCAGAATAAAGTTTCAAGTCAGTGACTCTCAAATGTATACAAAAATCGCCAAAGAGTTAAAAAGGCAGAGAGACAGGTACCATATGCCAGTTCATTCCTCAAAGCTGCAACAGGCAAGGCTGGGCCAGACCAAAGCCAAAAGCCATGCACATGAGCTTCCATGTGGGTGGCAGGAACCAACCTCCACTGCCTTCCCAGAAGCAGCAGGAAGCTGGATCAGACAGAAGGCCCAGGGTGTGACCTATCCTTCTTGAATAGTTTTTTTTCCCCCGCAGAAAGGCAGATTGACAGAGATGTCCCATCCACTGGTTCACCCCCCAAAGGGCCGCAACAGCAAGAACTAGGCTGTTCTGAGGCAGAAGCTTCTGGGTGCACAAGCCCAAGGATTTAGACTATTCTCCACTGCCTTCCTCGGCTATAAACAGGGAACTAGACGGCAAGTGGAGCAGTCAAGACAGGAACTGGCACACATATGGGATGCCGGTGCTTTAAGGAGGATGCTTAGCTAACTTAGCCACTGCACTGGACTGTGAACTGACATTTTTACATGTTGCAAATGGGTGGTTTATCTTGCTGTGCCACAATGCAGGTCTCCAACCCCCCATCTTGCTTTCCTTTTTTTTTTTTTTAATGATTTGTTTTATTTTTATTGGAAAGCCAAATATACAGAGAACAGAGACAGAGAGGAAGATCTTTCATCTGTTGATTCACTCCTTAAATGCCGCAATGGCCGGAGACAAGCTGATCCAAAACCAGGAGCTGGGAGCTTCTTCTGGTCTCCCATGTGGGGGCAGGGTCCCAAGGTTGTGGGCTGTCCTCGACTGCTATTCGAGGCCACAAGCAGGGAGCTTTTGGGAAGCGGGGATATTGGGATACGAACCAGCATCCATATGGGATGCCAGCGCATGCAAGGTGAGGACTTTAGCTGTGCTAGGCTACTATGCCGGGACCAACATTCCCCTCTTTTAAAATTGTTTCCTGGGGCCCAGTGGCGTGCCCTAGCAGCTAAAGTCCTCGCCTTGAATGTGCCGGGATCCCATATGGGCGCCAGTTCTAATCCCAGCAGCTCCACTTCCCATCCAGCTCCCTGCTTTGGGCTTGAGAAGGCAGTCGAGGACAGCCCAAAGCTTTGGGATCCTGTACCTGCGTGGGAGACCTGGAAGAAGCTCCTGGTTTCAGATCAGCTCAGCTCTGACAATTGCAGCT